TACTGTTCCTTGTTGATGGGCCGCGCGAGGGGGGGGAGGCCCAAAACGGGCATTTTTACCACGCCCTGAGCGTGTGATCTGAATTGCTGGGGCGGGTAAAAATTTCCACCCCTCACGCAGATCGGCGGGGTCAGGGTCCCAAAACACACAGACTTGCTACATTTCTGAAATTCGGTGGCACCCCTTACGCAGATCGGCGGTGTCAGGGTCCAAACGCACAAGGGATTTGCCACATTCCTAAAATTCGGTGGCACCCCTCACGCAGATCGGCGGGGACAGGGTCTAAAAACACAGGGGATGTGCTGCATTTCTAAAATCCGGCGGCACCCCTCACGCAGATCGGCAGGGTCAGGGTCCAAAAGCACAAGGGATGTACTACATTTCTACAAATTCGGCGGCACCCCTCACGCAGATCGGCGGGGTCAGGGTCCAAAAACACAGGGGATTTCATGATCCTCCTCCTCCTCCTCCTCCTCTTCCTCCTCCTCCTCCTCCTCCTCCTCCACCTCCTCTCTCCTCCCGCCCTGTTCCCTCTCCTCCCCCTCCACCTCCTCCACATCCTCTTCCTCATCCTCCTCCGCCTCCGCCTCCTCCTCCTCCTGCTCCGCCTCCGCCTCCTCTTCCTCCTCCTCCTCCTCCACCTCCTCCTCGTCCTCCTCCTCCTCCTGCTCTGCCTCCTCCTCCTCCTCACCGACATATTCCTCCTCTTGCTCCGCCTCCTCCTCATCCTCCCCGGCGACCACCCCACTCCTCCTCCTTTTCCGGTTTCTCCGCCTCCTCCTCCTCCTCCTCCTCGTCCTCGTCCTCGTCCCGGTACTCAGAATCCGGCTGCTCCTTCCCCAACTCCCTTCCCACGATACCTCGTCCACCTGAACGTTTCCTCCTGCTCATCCCGCAAATCCTCCTGCCATTCCCCCCCTTAGACGCGGCCATAGCAGAAGAGCGGCCGTTGACGGAGGGTCACCACCGTGGCTATAAAGCGCGAGGCCCCTGCTGTTGCCTGGATCGGGACAGGGAGAGAGAGAGAGAGAGAGAGAGTGAGACAAGCAAACAGCAACACAAAGAAACATAGACAGACAGACAGACAGACAGACAGACAGACAGACAGACAGCCAGACAGACAGAGCAATAGAGAGAGAAGGGACAATAAACAGACCAACAATATAGAGAGAGGAAACAAAACAATCGACGTTTGAACCGCTTTTCACTGACCAGCAGGGTGGGCACCAATACGCCAGACTTCATCTCCTCTGACCTGAAGATGCCCATCTCGA